CTGACCTTTGACCCTCCTGTCCAACACATGCACAGCATTCACACAGTTCATCTGTAAACTCCTATCAGTCTGTGTGGGTGCAGCCAGTGTGCACACAGAGATGTTTCACTCCGAGCGGCACACACAGACACCGGCCCAGCGGGGGAATAAAGACAACACTGACCAATGAGGCGAGTAATTGTCAAGCCTCTGCCTTTTCTTCTGTGATTTCCCAGAGTACCGAGCATCACCCCTGCTGCTGCTCCTCTCACTGGGTTCTCTACAACTGATGTCAAACGTGATGCGTCACTTATTTCTAAACTAATGTCATTTTTATTGTGACGTGGGTCATTTCAGTGACTTGGATCGTGACCTGGTTGTTGGTTTGAGCTTTTCACACATTGATCTACTACAGTTTTCTTGCACAACAATCTCCATGGTTTACAGAGTTTGTTGTCCAAAAAAAGAGAAAATATTCAGTGATTTTTGCAGCTAGAGAGGATATTATGGGATAAATCTTGTTCCAGCAGGAAGTGAATTTGAATTGCTCAGATTGAATCTGAATGTGCATACAGTGGGGAAAATAAGTATTTAGTCAGTCACCAATTGTGCAAGTTCTCCCACTTAAAAAGATGAGAGAGGCCTGTAATTGACATCATAGGTAGACCTCAACTATGAGAGACAAAATGTGAAAAAAAATTGAGAAAATCATTTTGTCTGACTTTTAAAGAATTTTTTTTTGCAAATAATGGTGGAAAATAAGTATTTGGTCACCTACAAACAAGCAAGATTTCTGGCTGTCACAGACCTGTAACTTCTTTTTTAAGAGGCTCCTCTTTCCCCCACTCATTACCTGTATTAATGGCACCTGTTTGAAGTCGTTAACAGTATAAAAGACACCTGCCCACAACCTCAAACAGTCACACTCCAAACTCCACTATGGTGAAGACGAAAGAGCTGTCGGAGGACACCAGAAACCGAATTGTAGACCTGCACCAGGCTGGGAAGACTGAATCTGCAATAGGCAAGCAGCTTGGTGTGAAGAAATCTACTGTGGGAGCGAGAATCAGAAAATGGAAGACATACAAGACCACTACTAATCTCCCTCGATCTGGGGCTCCACACAAGATCTCAGCCCGTGGGGTCAAAATGATCACAAGAACGGTGAGGAAAAATCCCAGAACCACAAGGGGGGATCTAGTGAATGACCTGCAGAAAGCTGGGRCCAATGTTACAAAGGCTACCATCAGCAACACRCTAYGACGCCAGGGACTCAGATCTTGCAGTGCCAGACGTGTCCCCCTGCTTAAGCCAGTCCATATCCAGGCACGTCTGAAGTTTGCTAGAGAGCATTTGGATGTTCCAGAAGAGTATTGGGAGAATGTCATATGGTCAGATGAACCAAAATAGAACTATTTGATAAAAACACAACTCGTCGTGTTTGGAGGAAAGTGAATGCGGAGTTGCATCCAAAGAACACCATACCAACTGTGAAGCATGGGGGTGGCAACATCATGCTTTGGGGCTGTTTCTCTGCAAAGGGACCAGGACGACTGGTCCGTGTACATGAAAGAATGAATGGGGCCATGTATTGTGAGATTTTAGGTGCAAACCTCCTTCCATCAGCAAGGGCAATGAAKATGAAACGTGGCTGGGTCTTTCAGCATGACAATGATCCCAAGCACACTGCCAGGGCAACAAAGGAGTGGCTTCGTAAGAAACATTTCAAAGTCCTGGAGTGGCCTAGCCAGTCTCCCGATCTCAACCCCATCGAAAACCTTTGGAGGGAGTTGAAAGTCCGTGTTGCCCGCCGACAGCCCCAAAACATCACTGCTCTAGAGGAGATCTGCATGGAGGAATGGGCCAACATACCAGCAACAGTGTGTGCCAACCTTGTGAAGACTTACASAAAACGTTTGACCTCTGTCATTGCCAACAAAGGATATACAACAAAGTATTGAGATGAACTTTTGTTATTGACCAAATACTTATTTTCCACCATTATTTGCAAAAAAATTCTTTAAAAGTCAGACAAAATGATTTTCTCAAATTTTTTTCCACATTTTGTCTCTCATATTTGAGGTCTACCTATGATGTCAATTACAGGCCTCTCTCATCTTTTTAAGTGGGAGAACTTGCACAATTGGTGACTGACTAAATACTTATTTTCCCCAAAGTAATTTGAAATTGAATGCATTGGTTTGAAAATGAATTTTTCTAAATTGAAACTGAATTTAAAGTTTTGTATTTGAATTAATTTGCTTTGAAACTGTATTTTGGTTGATTAAAAATTCAGTTTGACTACTTTCAGTTTCAGTTTCAATTTAGTAAAATTCATTTTCAAACCAATTCATTAAATTTCAAATTATGAACATTCAGATTCAATGGGCCTCATGCAAGAACCGTTCGTACGCACAGATTTGTTCTTAAATTGTGCGTACGAGTGATTTAGGAGAATTTGTGGCATTCACCAATGTTTTCATATTCTAAGATTTTTTTCAGATACGAACAAAATTAACGAGTGGTCCAGACCTGTCGTATATTTTACCAGCAGTCAGTCTGCTGTTATCCAGACGGGTTTTCTTCATTAATAACTTTATATTTCATTAGTTTGAAGATATTTTGAGTTGAAAATAAATCACACTCCATAATTATGTTGACAATAAGTTATTCTGCTTGAATTAGTTATAATTTTAAATGTAATAATTTAGACTAACAATATAAATTGTCCGTTCGTCCGTTTTCCGCCGCTCATCCGGGATCAGGTCTCGGTGGCAGCAGCAAAGAGACCCCCTCTCTCCAGCGACACCTTCCAGCTCGTCCTGGGGGACTCAAGATGTTCCCAGGCCAGAGGGGATAAATGATCAAGTCCTGGATTTTCTCCAAAGTGCCAGACTTATTTTGAAAACATTTTAAAAAGCTCATTTCAAACCCGCATCTGAGACCACCTGTGCCGCGCAGCCCACACAAACATCAACAAAACTGGTTTCACTGCAGGAAAATAAAGTTTCTGAGCGTCCTAGCTGGAGTTCAGACCCAAGCCCAGGGCTATTCAACTGGCGGCCCGCGGGCCACATCCAGTGAGTGAGCRAGTGACCAAAATGTGGCCCACCAATTGGTTCATTTATCTCTTAAGTCCAAACCCCCATTTTTCACCTTTAATTACTTTTTCTTTTAGCTAGACATAGACATGTTTGGTGTCTACAGAAATGTCAGAATATCGGCTACAAGCTGGCAAAAACCATTTCTATGAATATCTAAGACAGGTAAAACTACAAGCAGTTGAAGATAAAACTATGAATATGAAAATAAAATTGGTTTAAAAATTTGGCAGGTCAAATATGTCAAAATAATATTTGTGTTAAATAGGAAGCAAATTGTGTTATTTTTGTTTTTGATATTGTTTTACTATCACTACATTAATTACATAGGGTTCTGTATGTTGTATTCATGATTAAATGCAGCAAAATAAATTATTTCAAAGGTAACAGATCTTTGTAATACTTGGTTTATTTACAAAATGACTTTAATTGCTGGATGTTCGGCCTCTGTGCCGTTGTTCTGCATTAACTGTGGCCCCCGGAGAAATTTAGTTGAATAGTCCTGCCCAAGCCTGAGTGGCTGCTGTTGGTCTGAGAGCTGGGATTAAAACAGGTGGTGCTCCAAATAAAATGATTGTTTCAGGGTGTTTTTATTTTTCTCTACAACAGATTTTTCCAAACAAATTATTCTGGCATGAACGACAAAACCTGGCACTAAGGCAGCTCTAACATTCAGAATAATAATAATAAAAAAAGACTGGTTACAGGTTAACAAATGCTGACCTGAAAACGCCCCGAGCAGTGAAAAACGTGCAGTAGATATAGCACGGCTTTCTGATAGGAACGCTGATTTCAGTCCGTCTTTATTGCCTCTTTAGAATCAATAGCAGCCTCACATTTAATGCTGTCTTCATTTCCCCGCAGCGTAATTCAGCCGGTGTCCTAACAGCAGCCATGTGTTACATTTTCATTTGGGTGAATTTCTACAATAGGTGACGAGCGTGCGGGGGTTATGTATGACTAAGTGACATTTGCCATCATTCTAATGGCAGCGCCTGGTGGCTGCGAGGCAGTGAGGTAATCAGGCTGGTGTCGGCGCAGCGGCTCAAACGACAGCTTTATGACTGTTCAAACGCTCCGAGGACGTTCAGGAGCTTCATCCGCAAAAACGTAGCGTAACGTGACCTCCAGCAGGATTTTAATAAAGACACGAACAGAGCTGCTTTTTCTTCACATGAACTGAAATTTAGATTCAGAAGTTCACGTGGATATTTGTTATGTTTGGTTTCAACTAGGAAGATAGAAATATAGATAATACAACTAAAAGTTATCAGCAGCTTGTTTGATTTAAAGCCACGGCTCTTTGTCCACACAGAGACAGCGTGATAACAAATCATAGTGATTAATGATCCTCTGAGGTGCTGATAGACAGACTTTGTTCCTGTTAACAYATACTGCTCCCCAGGTCTCAGGTCTTACAGTGAGAAGGCAAACAAGTTTCCCAACAAAGTCAAACATTTGTTTGAGTTTGATGCAGCGACTAATGTAACTCAACAAATCTGAATTATCTCAGGCCGTCGCTCTTTGCAGCGTTCCAAGTTCCCTGCGCAACAAAATCATTTCAGGGAACATTTTCAACAGTCACTTCCTGAAGACACAGCACTAAAGCTGTAGTACTCATGCCAGACTTGAATCGTGTGTTTCCTGCAAATGGAACGACCGCGAGGAATTTACAGAYGAAAAAGAGATAATGTGAGTCTTCATGCAGGAAGGAACCCGTCAAACTGGTTCGGTTGTTTCACTGATTTAGGTAAAAGTAAAAATCTGGGACATACATGCAAAATATCTGAGGCTCCAGAAACAATTCAATCTGTACTATAAAATGCAACAGGAAGTGTGAGATAATACATTAACACAGACAGGTCGGACATTTTGTGGCGCTCTGAGCATCCAGGGACAGAAAACGTGCAGGACATTTACCCGGTCCTTCATCCTCCAGCTCTGTGCCAAAGCCTTGGAGCCCTCGATCTTCTCCAAGTGTCTCTTCTTCATGAAGGCCAGAGGAAGCTTCCAGTCGTTCATGTCGGCCTCCTCTTCCTCAGCGAGGCCCACGGCCGGCGAGTGGAGCAAGTCCGAGTCCATTTTCATCAGAGCCCTGCAGAGAGGTCACAACAGACCCGGATGAGTTTCTGAC